ACCATCTCTTCAAAAAGCTTCGAAAAACCCTCAACTCCTGAACCCATGAACTTGAACCTACTCTCAAAAAGCTTCGAAAACCCTCAACTCCTGAACCCATGAACTCCGGGGGTTATAGTGCCGTGCCCTGCCTGCTTCGGACAATGTGCAGCAAGTCCTCGTCTGCGTCTGGCTCGGATCGCAGGGTCACCTGCATCTCTACCTATAGGCTCCATTGTAGTTCCTTTTGGGGGTTACCTTGATCAGGGTTTAGGGTTTAGGGTTTAGGGTTTAGGATCCTTAATATAGAATTGGTTAATCCAAAAAAAGGAACTACAATGGAGACTATAGGTAGAAGCCAATAAAACCAGTGAGATCCGCCCCGGCATCAAACAAAAAACTAACACGCCCGAAGCCCGAAGCCCACATCGCGAAGCCTGAACCCCAAACCCCACCACCTCGATCCGAAAACCCCTAAACCCTAAACCCTAAACCCCAAACCCTACCACCTCGACCCAACAAAACCCCGAACTCCCAAAGTGCGCCTGGAGCTGATGCTGCTTCAGGTTCTGGACCACCTGCGGTCCGGGGGGCGAAGGGTCTCTTCAACACACGATTTCTTGATAATACCGCGGTTTCGGGTTTAGGGTTTAGGGAAAATACTAGTCATCGTACCTCTTCAGATAATACTGAGATTAATAGACCCTAAAACCCCTAAATCCCAATAGTTGTAGTAAACGATAGCGACTGTGGACAGAACACCGTACTTTTTGGATTGCTTTTGAAGGGGGGTGGGATGGCCATACAAGTCAAAAATCCCAAGGGCTTGCTAATGTCTTTGCAGTGTGGTGGATAGACATGAAAACGCTCTTTGACGTCAGAAAGCTGAAACATGCGTATCCACGTACCTTTTCCAGCCATGGTAATTCTCCGTTCACGCGCCCAGTCTTCGGAGATTTGGCTACTAGCGAAAGTCAGCACCCTGGACACCTTTGTAAGACCTTCATAAGCCCTTACATAACGGTAAACGGCACCAAGCGGAGAACATATCATTCGTTGCCGGAACACGGGCTCCTTGACCAAGGTTTTGAAATCCCACTCTAGACTGTTTAGGGTTTTAGGGTTTAGGGTTTAGGGTTTAGGGGTTTAGGGTTTAGGGTTTAGAGTTCTAAACCCTAAAGTTTCAGACCCTCACGGAAACGGCCTGCCTGCTCCAGCCTCTGCTCGTTGGACTTCCTAGGCAGTCGTGGGAAAAAGAACAGCTTCACCAATGGCCGGAGTTATGTATATACCTATATGTACATATGTTTTTGTTTATGTGCCGATTGACGTGTTGTTTTATACGTGTGTGTATATCTATATATATATATATATGTGTATATATATATATATATGTATATATATATATACATACATATATATACACCCACACCTATACACATACGGCTCATATTACTACTCACTGGACACCGAAGTTCCACGAATCCTGATGTGGGAGGCCTTCGTTTGGAAAGCTTGGTGTGCAGTGACCGTCCAAGTTCAGGTCAAGGTATATGAAAGGCTAGGTGTCGATATCAACAGCCTTCAACACATGCATCTAGCGCTCCTTATAATGGGCCCAGAAGGGATGATAGCAGTTATCCAAAGTCGGCACCTACCGGCAGCAGAGAAACATACACACATGTATCTATATATATATATATATATATCTATCTATGACCATAGATATACATATATATATATATATATATTTATTTATTTGTTTATTTATTTATTTATACTTAGAGACGACTGAATGACTATGACGATGTATTTATGCGTACAGCTATGGTGCGGGCACCCTTGGGGTCTTGGATCATCCCAGAGGCAGGGACGTGTCGTTGTAATATCTGGCCACATCTTCCGAGGTCGCCGGATAGTGAAGAGCACCTGCTTAGGGTTTAGGGTTTAGGGGCTTAGGGGTTTAGGGTTTAGGGTTTAGGGCTGGGCCAGTGTAGCAAAGGGCCTGAATAAATAGACGAGGGTGTTTGTAACTGTGTGGTTTTTTTAATGAAGAGATGAGGCAACCTCGGCGAATAACATGACTAACTAGTTCGGAATCCTAAATGAGGATTAAGGATTGTCGAGCTTCTTGCAGGGTTCTCTATCGCTGACTGACTGACTCGCTCGCGCTCTCACTCTCTCACTCTTTCTAATATGTGTGTATATAATATTCATATATATATATATATGTATCTATATATACATACTGTATTGAAATGCAAGGGCCTTACATTCTAGAAGAGGTTTGTGGTGACTTAGAACGGACTATATGGCCTAGTAGTACCAGAACCAGAACTACCTCCGCGATGGCCCGCCTGAGACTTCGGCTCGCGCAACCCTCCGCGCAGGAGTCATAAACAGCTTCCTGGGACTTGGGGATGCGTGGCTCGGGGATTCGGAGCCCGAAACCCCAAATTCTTTAAGGGTTTAGGGTTTAGGGTGGCTCGGGGATTCGGAGCCCGAAACCCCAAATTCTTTAAGGGTTTAGGGTTTAGGGTAACCCCAAATCCCTGATAGAATTCTTTAAGGGGCCTTTCATTAATCCTTTAGTTAAATAGCAAGAGTAGTAGGTAGCAGCAAATTGCCAAACTCGAAGTCTGTGAAGGTGAAGATAGGAACCCACATGGGTGGTTGTCAAAATGATG